TGACCCATCAGGCAGTCTGGTAGGGCCAGGAATGGAGTTTGTGGGTCAAGGTCATTTAGGATGACAGCACAATTTTCTTCTAGAAGATGACATCTGATTATTGCAAAAAGTGTTTCACGGGATGTTAAAGAAAATTAAGTGTAAAAAAACCCCCAACAACCAAGAGAGTCTGCGTTCAGTAATATAGTAATTAAACCTCTTACAAAGTATTCTCACTTTGAAACTACAAAAAAGGCATTCAAAGCCATTAATCAAGCAATCAAAAACCCATGACCTTCCTTTTCCAAGAGTTTCTGCCTGTGGATTGACAAAATGGTGCAAAATCTCAGTATCGTACATATGGGTGCCCAAAATACATGGAGCCAGAACTTCCCAATATTACTGTTACCTTGCCAGAACACCAGATTCCCTCTTCTCAGATGGTAAAATCTAGGCTGTTACCCTATCATCTCTATCCACCTATGCCAGCACCGTGCCTCAGCTTCATTTGCAAAACTGGCAAGAGGCAAAAAATACACTTTCACAAGACTAAATGAAAATGAAAAAACAATATAAAAGAAAAAATATTTTTTGAACAGTCCTCACTAAAGCCGCATCAGTCTTATTTCTTAATTTCAGCAAGGTATCTATGCTGCGAAGTGCACACCAGAAATACTTCTACCAAAATCAAATTACTTATTCAGCACCATCCACAGCAACTATTTATACAGGCATTTTCTACGGAATATATGGGGGGGGGGTTGTAAATAATATGAAACAATCAATTATTTAGATTTTTTTCAAATACCATGTTCAGAATTTGCAAACTATGACAACACACACAAGATTACTTGTGGAAAGGATGGAATTTACAGCTCACAATATTGTGAGTTTTACAGAAAGTACGTTTTCCTTGAGACAACACTTGAATACCCTTGGAGGAGGAATTACCTTTAGCCTGTAAAATATAATTTCTGGCAACACTCCCTAAAGCGGAACACGCTTGCCTCTAAAAATAAGCCATGGTGCTATCAGCAGCACAGATTACTTTTTCCTGGCAGGGAGAGCCCAATGCATCCAGAAACGACTGCAAGGGGCGATGACCAACTGGCTCCAGGAGCTGGTTCAGCCCTCCCGGCTGCCCTGGCTGCCACCCCATGCCGTGACGAGGTGTTCGGCCCCGCGGCCGTCAACTGCGGGCGCACCCTGCGTGGCGG